AAAGGATTAATAAGGCAATATGTGTGCATCTGCTGTGTGCACGTAGAGAAAAAAAGGAAAACGAAAGTTTGTATATGTGTGTGTAATGCATGCGATGGAAAGGTAGCATTTTCAATTTGGCATCAAGCGAAGCGCACGACAGACACACCGAAACGATGATAAAATGACTTACGCAGTTGATGCGACTGTGAAAATTCATATTATAAAAATTATGAGTGTTGAATGGATGTTCTATTTACGGGTGTATTAAGGTTTTCCGATTGTACGTAATATATAAGCTTTCGAAAAATCAACATCGTTCCAAAGAAAAACGAAGATGGGGAACGAAATGAAGATAACATGCAACTCTCAACTGTGTACTTTATGTGAAAACAAGGTTGTTATTTCATTCGCAATGAATAAAAATTACAAAGTTAACGCGCTACGGTATTGCTGGTGGGGTGTGTATTCGTTTGCCACCTGTACGCCGCTCACTCGGGCTTGGTTAAAGCACAACATCGTACCAAACTGTCTATGTTATACAAAAGAAGCATAAATCGTTTCGAATGTTTTTTTTTTCTTTTCTTGTGTATTTAATATACTTAATATATTCATCTTTCGTTTTGCCGCTAAATTTTGTTCAAATCATAATTGTTTTTTGTTGTCGACAATTTTCAATGGGCCATAAGATACCATGATGTATTAAATTCGAAAATTCAGAAGAATGCTCCTATTTTATATATGTAAACAAGGAGCACATTAAATATACTTTGTACCAACACTTGCTGAATATTTTTGGTAATTATAATATGCAAACACACAAGGGATGGGGTTTCTATGTGTATACACATAACCATTGAATGATAATAATAAAAAACGGATTTCATTTTATCACTTCATATGAATTTTTAACTAATACCGCGTTGCCTCTTCAAACCACATACACATTAACTAACGCAATTTTAACATTTATGTTGTTATAATCTATGCGCTTTAACGGCACTGCGTGGCTTATGTTTGCCTATATACATGGATCGAAAACGAAATGAAAATGACGCGTGTACATATCATATATGAGCGAAACGATAGATATGAAAGCCGTGTCGAAACATTTATCTGCATCTAATAAAATTCTCGAAAAGCTGAGAAATTAATGCATTCAAAACGTATGCATAATAATGTCAAACACACATAGACACACACACACACATGACACATGCGAAAAACGCGAACGAGTATTTGTGTATAGGAAAACAGCGGGAAATGTTATATGGGAAAAAGCAACTTTCATAAGCACATTAAAATGCGGATTAAATCAAATTATGGAGACATGCATATTTAAATTGAATGACAGTAGGGCACAAAAAAAGGCGCAAAAGAAACATGGCTTTGTGTCATGCGTGGCTAATTCAGTACTCCTTTTTTTGTGCAGATTATCAATTTTAACGCTTGAGAGTAGAATAACAAGGCTACATAACCGATTTGCATTCATCCATTTTTATTCTATTCTTCTGCATACACACATACATATTTGCATAATCATGCCACTTCATTCAAGCAACAAACACCATTCAAACAAGTTGTTCGCCTGAAACCTCGAATTGAATTATCTCATCACATTTTATGTCTAATAATAATGGAGAAGAGGAAAAAAAATATAGCGCCTTTAGCTGAATTTTCGTTGCCATCCCACAAAACGACGATGATCTATTTTCTAATCGCTGCGTGTTCTCTATCATCGACGTGCTTGTCCGGATAGCAGGATAAAATGATTCTCACACGGCTCCGACTTCATATTTCTCGTGCTGCCTTTATCATTTGAACAACATTTTTTTTTCCTCTGTTCATCTTCTTCTTTTTCGACATTAGCCATAAATTATTGCGATTATCGTTGACACGCGGTAGCAATACGAACGTCTACGTGATTTGTCTGTCGTCTTGTGCTCTTTATGTAACACACTCGAAATTTATTTATGTGCTTGTGCTTTTCTTCATACGCCGATTTGGTGCTGCAACATTTTTGATTATTTATTTCTAATTTACTCTGTACTCGAACGAATGTCATTAAGACTGATGTACGAATTTTCCAACAAAAAAAAAAACAGTCAACGGAAAAAGTGATAGAGAGAGAAAAACAAAAACGAGATGTGAAAAAGGAGCAGTCTAGCTGTTAATTTATGGCATGCAACATTTTGTCTCGTTCGCATTGAGTCTCTTTAGCAATGAGTCTTTGATATCAAAGGCCGCATAGTCATCATATTCATTCATGCAAAAAGCCCTCCAAAAAATATGTATCTAAACAACTGAATACAAAAAAAAACGAACAACACTCAGCAAGCCACCCAGGTAAGAAATGATATTGGCATACGATATGAATATAATTGCGTTATAGTGCGTGCTGTTTTGGTTTTCGTGATTGTTTTCATTTCCATTTGTAGGTTTTGTTGTATATATGTTTTTTTTTCGGCTTAATTTTCTCTCGATGTGTCTTATCATCGGCCGGTGACTATGTGTGAGTGTGAGATGGAATGCCTGACTGGTATATGTTATTTTGGTTGTAGGTGTACGAATACATCAAAAATTCAGTTCGAGGCTTTGTGTCGAATAAGCTAGCATGAATTAAGGATGCCTTTTTGCATCGTCAGGACCAATAAATTTAAATGGAATGCAGACTGAATACTAGACAATAACGTCGACACAGCGACAACGAAACGAAGAGTGAATACCGACACACACACAGCACACAACGAAAAAGAAGAAGAAGAAGATGTAAAAAAAGCACTGGCTAAGAAGAACGTGAACAAGCAATGAAAGCATCACGACAAATGGCAATGATGACAATGTTCTTTGCTTTTTCAGTGGCTGCAAAGAATATAAAGGATACAAAAAATAAGAAACATAGCAAGAGAGAAAACCATAGAGCAAAAAAACCGACAACACAAAATCGCAATAAATTTATCACGCGCACATCCTGTCAACAGACTCATTTAAAAATTTACACATCTCATGGCTGATTTCCGCGGAGCGTTTGGCAAAAAGCTTCTTTTCTGGTTGAATAAATGAATATGTGCGACACGGTACATGTACAAAATAATTGTTGAGCAATTTCATTTGTGTGTGTATGAGTCAAAAAACAAACTAAACGATGGAAAGCGCACGGGTTGGAAATATATAGATGGAAAGGCATGCGAAAAAGACAGAGAGCATAAGATGAAGGACCATAGAATGGATTACGATCATTAATGTCAAACAAATATCTATCATTGATATTTATAGCGTTGAATCGTTTGATATATGGCCATGATATGGGAAATATTGCGTAATAAACGGGCCCCTACAAATACAAACGTTTGCATTTGCAGGTGATTAATATATTAATAATAAAATAATGTCAAAGGATTTTCTCTCTCGACAAACGATGGCACTCGATTTCCGGAATGGAATTTGCCATTCCATTCGAAATCGTTGGGCGAAACGAGAAAGAGCCCTAAGCCGCTTACCATGGTTTACGAACTGTACATCACACTCAGCACTTTTGGAAGAACGCAAGGGAATGCTATAGAAGCGGATTTTGAACTGTACGCGCTACGATGTGTGTGTGTTTATGTGGTGTTCGTGTATGAGTGTGTATGAAACGTCTATCGTGACAGGAAATGAACGTTGAAAGCACATTTGAACGGTCAGAGTAAATAAGCGGAAATTGTTTTATTGTTTATTTTCAAGCCTTTTACACAGTTTTCATAGTGAAGAAATATTTTTGATGCTCTGTTGAACAATAATCAAACATTTTAATGGGAGGGTGAAGCGAAAACGTAACGAACTTTTTCATTAGGAAAACTTTACAAAAAAATTCAACAACAATCATAATGATGATGTTATGTTGATGAAGTGAATGAAATTAACCGAAAATTTTCCTTTTATTTCTTAATCTATTTTTTTCCAACTGACAAAATTTAACAAATAAAAAGATGCAAATTTTAAATGTTTTCTTTAGAAAAAAAAATATGTTATTATAGTTGCAACAAATGTAAAAAATATTGCAAAAATAAAACGATGACAACCGACGGGCCGAGGTCACGTCAGTTGAAAGATGCAGTTGTTAAACTTTCCCTCATTTTTTTCCTTCTGCTAGCTTCCTATCTACTAGAATATATACCATGGAGACACAACGAGTTTAAATAGTAATCCATTACATGAATAAAATTTCGTATTTTTTATTCGTGGCCACTTCATTTTTTTATGTGGATCGCATACTCCTGTTTTTCTCTCTCTCTCAATCTCAACGTCTATCTATCACTCTCTATCTCATCCTCTGCATGGATTGTGTGTTACAAACAAAAAAAAACTGAGCAAAAATGTCATAAATTTTGCCCAAGGGAAAATAAAGTCATTGTCATACACAAACCAGCGATGGATCGATGTTATTCAGCTGAATGTGGAAAAAAAATAAAAAGAAACAACAGCACGAAAAGATGTCTAGAACAATTACGGACGTGAAACAAAACAATAACATAGCTAGCAAATTATGAAGCAAGTTGTGTTGTGAGTGCTGCAAGCATCAAAACCAACACACAAAACCATTATAATTGAAACGTGAAAGACTATGCCAACACAGACAGAGACAAGACCACAGATTCACGAATGTTTCGCTAGTTCAACAGATTCTTTTATTATTCTTCTGTTCTACCTCTATTTATGGTGCTTTATTTTCGAGTAAATCCTCTTTTTTCGCTCTGGTTTTATTTACATTTTTCATTACATTCGATCCTTTCGTTAAAAATGCGCAAATTTGACTGACGTTATGTTGTGTTTCACATGCAATTCCATACTCTTCGAAAAAAAAAAGATTTGTTGAAAAGAATATTTATATGCTTTTACCTTTGTTCCAATTAACATAAAAACAAGCGCTTTTTTCTGTGACGATTTCATGTTTGAGCTCTAACCAAACACACATCTCTTACCTCACAAAAAATGTATCATCTCGTAAAACAACATAATATATACGAAAAAAAGATACTTACTCTTCAGTTTGATTGCGAATGAAATTCAGGAAATACACGGCAAATTCTTCAATGCTGCATTTTGTCTCCTCTTCATTCTGTGAAAGAGAAAGAACCGGTGAAATTGCTTAAAGTAGAGTTTTGTTTGGAATATTTTCATATTTATTGGTGTCCTCGTGAAAAGAATACTCAACTGAAGCGATTAAATTTCGTGGTATTAACGAAAAAAAAAAATTAAAATAAACTCGTTTGGATTATAAAAAAGTATATTCGTTTTGTGTTCTTGATTGAATGTTATTGTCAGACATCCTTAGTGATCCAAATGGGCTTGTCATTTAAAAAGGAGTGTTTATTTCTTACAATCAATATACTTTTCATTGAATATGTTCAGCGTGACAAAAGAAACGATGAACAAAAAAAAGCATTCATAATGTAACTCCCTCTCTCTCAAATGTATTAGTGCAAATTGGCACCTGTGCCGAATACAAGCGATATAAAAACATCGGTTGACGAAAATTGCCTGTAGTTTGGTGTGCATAAGAAAACAATTTTCAAATGTTTATCGTATCAAAGCTGTCACATCTCTCTCAATAATGATCGATCACCTTATTCGAAATTGAAATAATTTCATTCATGCAACAACAATCAATCGTAAGTGACACATAAATACCATGTTACAATGTCCCAGAAAACATGTATCTCCAATCTCTGTATTCGTCATTTAAGGCTCTGCTTAACAAAATTCGATTTTTAGTTGGAAACATACACAAATTTGTTTTGTTAATTTCATATATTTGAAAATATTTACACAGTAAAAAGTTGTTTCTTTTTCATTTATTTCAGTGCATAGATGTGCCAATGTTTTTTCGACACATTCAATTCATGTTAAACTCTTTTTTTTTATAATTTCATGCTTTTAACGGTGGTACAAACGAACACAGCCGCAATGCAAAAGTTTTGAGTTCGGTGAAAGAGAAAAAGGTGCGGGTTTTGTATAATGCGGTAGAGAAAATACAATTCAAATCAAAGTGTGTTTATAAATACGCCTACTTGATATAGATCTATATCTTTTCAAGTTGAAAAATTGATTACATGCAAAAGCATTTGAATTATTAAATGCCGAAAAAGCACATTCGCATTTATATATTTTCACTTTCCACCGTGGAAGAAATAAGAAGGATAAATCCAACCGGCTAAGCCTATGAAGAGACAAAATGCGAATTCCCCTCATCTGTGCCATCTTGTATTCCATAGTTGAACTCAATTTAGTTACAATGAATTGAATCGAAAAAGAGAAAAAAAACAACAACAGTAACATGGCTACATAGATCTGTTGACCAGTGAGATACGTATAGCAATGGAATGAAAGAATGAAGAAAGCGTATATGTGTATGTATGCATCAGCACGCATAGATGTACAGCTCTGTGTGGCCGTGCTATTGTTGTTGTTTTTTCACTTTTTCATTTCAATGCTACAGAATTAAATTCAGTTTTTGCATCTAATTCACACTAAAATCAGATGGCGCTCATTAGCGAGATTCGCAAAAAAAAGTCTCCAATCTCATACAAATATACACCGGCTGGATAAATCATAGTGGGTGCAAAAGAGCTGCTTCATGTATACGTGATTAATTTGCGTAACCATTCACACAATGTGCGTGCTTACGATAATTGTTTCATTCATACACATAGCGACGTCGACAACAGCAACAACAACAGCAGGCAATAGACGGATGAGCATGTGAATGTTGAAGTGAAATTGTTTTTGTTTCGTCGAAAATGTAAAGTACCATATTTGTGTATTATTTAATGAGCATTTTACTGACAGCACATATTTTGTGCGCCTTTCTTGCGCGTGAAAGATAGATAGAGAGAGCGTGGGCGAAGATTTCATGGGGTAAGGGAATTCGTTTAATAAGACAAGTATACAAGCACACGCACGCAGAGAGCGTTGTCATCAAACTGCATAAACATACACGGAATCAAGCAATAAAAGCGCAAAATTTGTATACACAATGCCAGTAAGATCAGATTGTTTCCAAAATTATTTGCAATATATTTCAAATGAAGGCGAACCGTCAAGTGTACTAGATTTTATTGAAGTTGAGCATACACATTCAGCAATGAACAATGTTTTACAATCCTAATAAATAGTTACTTTGTTGAATGTGTATAGTAGAAAATTTAAGGATATAAGTAAATAAACTTTAAATTTTCGTGTAATACTCGACATTAACGTATTTTCATTTGCCAAACTTCGCATCTACCGAAAAATTGTTGTGTGCGCGAATACCAGCATATATTCAGTTCGGTTGGTATTTGTCTTGTTGTTTATACAACCGGATGGTTATAAAAATACATGAAATATATTCGAAATGGTGGAAGCAATAGAAGCAACAACAATGGGTTTTGCAATGTTTGAGCTCTTATAATTAAATTAAACTTTTGCGAAGTGAACATTCAACAACAACTTGTTGTCACGTCAAAAACATAAAGTATAACCCAGATTTTAATACTTTTAATTTGAAAATTTTCGTTGTGTATTTTTTTTCTGCTCTTCCGCTCTGAACGATTTTTCGTTGGTCTTCTGTTTGGATCGCAATAGCAAAATGAAAATAAAACTAAAAAAGCATAAAATGATTAGTTTTTTTTTTGTTGTTTTCGTCTTCACATACACACGGGCACGCACGCAAACAAAATTATAGTTGATGAAGAATTTGAAATGAGAATGGCGGATATTGCATTTTCAGTTTGCGATGGTCGATTCGTTATGTTTATGACATCTTAAAAATTATATTTCCTTTAACCTACTATTATTTATGCGAATGAACGAACGGAAATGATAGTATTATTGCATAAATGACATTTAAGCTCAACTTAGTTTTACTACGTAATTTAGTTTGCCATTCTTTTAAAACGAATTAGTGCGAAACATATTTCCATGATAGTATTGAAATTTGAAATCATTTCTGGCACAAGTCAAATCCACTTGTATTCGAGTGATATGAAAATAAATAAATTGTCATATCGAAAAGCATTTAACGAAAAATGCCAAAGAAATGAGATGATGAAATAAAAGCATCATCTCATTTCGTAGTATTTTTCGTTAAATGCATTTTCCGTTTTGTTTTTGAATTTATGCTTAAAAGATTGATTGAAGGATATAAGCTTTATGTGTGTCACATAAATTCTTCTTATCTGTCACCATTGGCACACAGTTAAAGTCGTTCGTCTTTAGCATGAGCACGGTTCGCATATACATATACGATGAACAAAGTCAAATAAATAGCAACATGCCATTCCACATTCTTATACAAACGTTTTGATTTGAATGTCATTCATCCGATTTTCTGCATATGTTGATTTCATTTCGTCTATTCGTTGTGCCTCTCTATCACTTAGATATCGTTTTGATATCAAATGACTGGAAGCTAGAAGTCAGTGCGTTTACTTTATGGAAGGCGCATATATTCTCTTTTTTTATGTCAAATAGAATGGTTGGCTTCTGTTTTTCATTTCATCACGTTCAAACATTAGAACGGTGAACATTCAACGGCAGCGGCTGCTGCTTACCGTTAACATTTTTACAGCATAGATGAAATGTAAAAGACCACACAGCATTCGTAACTCTTGCTGTCGAATGAATGAATGAATGAATGAACAAATCAAAGGTAAAACACGCAAATTCCATGGAATATACAATTTTCATAAAATAAAATGTGTCTCATATAATAAGCCATATGGAAAGATGTTAAGAATCTCGTGTTGTGCAATCAAATGAACAGTTTTGTTATACTTTCGTCACACGTGTGACTTGCGTTTAAATATTATTTGTGCGAAAAATGTTCTATTTGAAAATCACTTGTGCACGTGTACCAATTGTGCCTGTGTGTGTGTGTTCACTGTTCACACCGATCGTAAAACTGATGAATGTCATTCATTGGGATAAACAAAATAAACAGACAAATCTTTTGAACTTTTAAAGTGTCACGATGCATTGCATACATTTTATACACATTGTGTTTGTTTTATTACCTCTTTGGCCAATGTGATTTCGGTTAAATTACTGTGTTGTTATGTTTGCTGTTGTTGTTGCCGCTTACGAGAACTTCAATTCATTTCCGACTGCCGCGTTGTAAAATGAATTATTTGAAGATCTCATGCAAATATTTCGAAAGTCAAAGAACTTTGCCAGAGTTGTGAACTCTCAACGACTCACAAAATACAATAGTATGTAATATACACTTGCATCACACATAAAACACAGAGCTGCATTCAATGCGTCTTAGTAAACTAAAAAGGAATTTTGCGGCAATGCAAACAATTTGTATATGTTTAAACATTTGCCGAGAGACGGAAAGAGAGAAAGAAAAAAGTGAGTGAGAGCGATAGAGAGTTAAAGTTAAATTGCATACCAAACGTGCCGAACGAAAAGAATGAAAACCGAGAACAGAAATTATAAGGGGAATTGATTTTGCATGTTGTTGCAAATACCATTGAATAAGCAAATGGGTATATTGTATATATTGGAAATGGGATAAAAGAGTCAGGAGCCGGTTCGTTTCGAATGTTATATCTAGCAAATAAATCTCATTCCAAAGCGTCATGGCTTGATGCAGTCTGCGGTAATATGTTTACGCATATCGAACTAAAATGCTGATGCACCGAACGAAATGCACATAAATAAAGCAATACACACACAACGGCAGAAGAAATATCTCGAATATGGCATCGACATGCACTCATTCGATTGCCCGTTCTCTATCTTTCTCTTTTGCCTTTGCTCGTTCATTCGTTCGCCTCATGCCAAAGTGTGAAATGGGAAAAAGGAAAATTGGCATGCATTTAACAATGTTTGGGTGTGAATACTGTCTGTCTGTGTTGCACTTTCAATTCAATTGGCAATACGATAGCAAATGGCATTAAAAAAAGTGAATCCGATAAGTAGGTGTATTGTTGTATGGTTTACACATCAATTTTGTTATAAATTTTCTGTATTTCTATCCAATAATCGAATGAAACAATGGGAGTGACGCTGATGCCAATGAACATCACAACAAAGCAAATACTCACAGAAAGACACAGCGACAGACACAAC